CACACACACACACACCCCTACACCAAGATGAAGTTTAAACTCGATCACTACCTTTCACCATATTTTCATCTACTTATTCATAAATTACAAGGGGCTCTGAGAACACCTAAATAAGGTACTCAGTAGATGTGTTTCTGAACTTTAAATTAGTAAATAGACAGAGAGAGAGACAAACAGAGAGACAGACACTGACAGATAGATAGACAGATAAACGACCGAATGAACAAATGTGAGAGAAGCCTTGCTTTGAGAAGTTAGTTGATGGGCATTAGGACCAGGAAGAACTGGCCCTTTCCCCTGACATCCCCACATCTCTCCTCCAGCACCCCGACCCCAGCCCAAGAAAATAGGTTAGCTGGTCAAAATAGAGCCTACCACTAACTTGTGAAATTAGATGGGGTGGGGGTGAGGTGGAGAGGAGATAAAAATAATCCTGAATTAAAAAAAAAATCTGAGAGATGGAAAGGAAAAATAGCAATGGAGAAACATAAGTAAGGCAAAAACACAACTGGGGGTGGTTTTATACATCAAAGGGACAGGAGAAAGGATGTTTAGCAATGCCGTTTCTGTCTTGCCAATTTTAGAGATTGAAGTTAAGGGTGCTTTTGATCTCCTAGCTTAGGGGAGCCTGCCTATCTAGAAGACAGTCTAAAAGCATTATTAGGCCCAGGCCAAGATACCTACATGGACTGAGGGAGAGAGGTGAGCATGAGCTGAGCAAACAGGAGAATGAACACATATAATGCTTTAAGGTTTTCGAAGCACTTTACAAACATTTTCTCACTTTATCCACATAACAACCCTGGGAGCTAATACTATTATAATCCCAATGTCACCGATGAAGAAACTGAGGCAGACTGAGATTTAAGTGACTTGCTCAGAGTTGAACAGCTGGGAAGTGTTTGAGGCAGGATTTCAACTCACTGAAATCCAGATCTAGCTAGATCTGGCACTACATCCATTGGACCACCAAATAGGAAATTAATGACTACATGCTAAGGGTAATGCCCTTTAAAAATATTTATAAGTGCTTTGAGGCATTTATATTGGCATTGAATTAGTTTTAAAGTAATCATACAAAAGACTTCAGTTTCCACATTTCTTACTACAATAAGATCTGCAATTATTAGCTTATTTTATGTTAACATAATAGACTGGGTTAAATAGTGACATCTCTGATTAGTATATGAATTGAGAGATATAACAGGGATGGAGGACTGACCTTAAAGTCAGAAATACCCAGGTTCAGATCCTACCTGAATCCTATATTGGCTATTTGGCCCAGGGCAAGTGGATTAATCTTTCAGTTAACTGTAGCTCTAAGGGACTGGTGAGTTTTGTCCACTGACGGGAGTTTTCAGTCTTGGGAATTCTGAACACTGATAAAATCAAAGGTCTAGAAGTATTTTTTCTAAGTAGAGACTTCTCCAAAATAGAAATGAGTCCTCATGTCTTGATCTTTAGAATGATTTGAATTAGCCTTGCTATTGTGCCACATGAAGTACTGTTTATTCCATCATATGTTTGCCTTTATATCATCTCATCATCTATCATAGGTGGCACAGTGGATAAAAAGTTGGGCCTGGAGAGTCAGGAAGACCTGAGTTCAAATTCTGCCCCGACACTTCCTAGCTGTGTGACCCCAGGCAGGTATTTAACCTCAGTCTGCTCTACTTCCTCATCTGTAAAATGGGGAAGATAATAGTACCAAGGTTGTTGTGAGGGTCAAATAAGATATTATTTGTAAAACATTTTGCAACTGTTAAAATGCTATATAAGTATAAACTATTATTGTTACTATCTACCCACCTATCTCTATTTTATATGTATATATGTATATATACTGTATATATTTATACATACTGTATATTTATATACTATACATTTATATATACTGTGTATGTTTATATATTTAAAATACTAAGGCAGCTAGGTGTCACAGTGGATAGAGCACCAGCCCTGGATTCAGGAAGACCTGAGTTCAAATGCGGCCTCAGACACATAAACACTTACTAGCTGTGTGGCCCTGGGCAAGCCACTTAATCCCATTGCCTAGACAAAAAAAAAAATACTATATATGTTTATATACTGTATGTGTTTATGTATTATATATACTATATATGTTTATGTATTATATATATTTATATATACTGTGTATATTTATGTATTTATACATACTGTATATGTAAGCCTTAATCACTGAATGGGTGCTGCCTCAGTCAAATTGAAACCTATTAAAGAACTTAGCTTGAAAAGGCCAAGGTCTCCCACTGCATCCTGGGCCATCTCCAGTTGTTCTGATCTGTATCTTGCCGCTAGATCCATATGGCTCTGGAGGAGAAAATGAGGCTAGTAACTTTGCACAACTGCACCTCACTTAAATCCAGTTCACTTGCATGTCATGGCATCACCTCCCTGATGTCATGATCTCTTTGAGAATGAAGGACAAACAGAAGCAACAACTGTATATATATGTATTATATATATATATATATATAGAGAGAGAGAGAGAGTACATGTTTATATACAATATATTTATATATACTGTGTATATATATTTATACATATGGTATAGATTTATATGCTGTATTTATATACATTTATACACTGTATTTATATATTGTATATACATATGATATAGGTTTATATACTGTATATATTTATATATACTCTATAGGTTTATATGCTGTACATATTTCTACATACTGTATATGTTTATATATTTCAATGTACTATATATATTTTTATACATTTATATATACTGAATATGTTTAGAAATACTATGTGTGTGTATGTATGTTTGTATGTATGTATGTGTGTTTGTAGGTGGGTAGGTGGCCTAGTAAAAGTAGAGATGAAAGAAGGCTTTGAATAGGCACTCCTAAACCTTATAAGGAAAGATATTGTGTAAATTTCTAAGTCGTGACAAAATAAGTACTAAATATCGAATATAAACTACTGCTGGGTAAAAATAGTTAAATGGTAGTTTTAAATCATAAACATTATTATTAGCTACGCCATAATGGAATGGTTGCTTGAGTGGTATAAGGACTGGACCTGTGATTTTCTTGCTATAGGGAGCTTCCAAACTCCTTCTACTAATGCAAATTAGCACCTTCTCTGCAATTTAGTCTTAGGGAGATGACATAGAGGGCTTCAAGGTTAAGTGACTTGCCCAGGGTCACACAGTCAGTATATTTCAGAGGCTGGGCTTAAGCACAGGCCACTTCTTAATATAACTCTGGAGAAGTATATAGTAGAAAAAGCTCTAGATTGGAAAATAGAATTCCTGGGTTTTAATTTAGATTTTCCTTGTGCAGCCTTAGGCAGATCTTCTGAAATCAGGTTTCTTATGTATAAAATGAAGGGGCTGGACAAGTTGAGCACTAAGATTTCTTGGAGCTCTGACCTTCTCTGGTTTAAGGACCACATATTTCTCTGAAAGTGAGTCAGACAGATGTTTTTCAACTTGAATCTAGAAAAATGAGAACCTAATAGCACCCCATAAAGCTTCCCCACAAGTCAGAGTAATAGAAGTCAATAAATTGATTAGATTTTTCCCCAAGTAGATAATCCTTCCCCCTCAAAAAATATTGCATTTTCTAAATCAGTGGTGTCAATTTCAAATAGAAAAATGTCCGCTACTCCTCACTTAAGGATTCCTGGGTCTATATGGTGACTTAGAAAACTACATGTCAACATTATCTATGTTCTATTGTATTTTTATTTATTTTTTGAAAAGTTTCCTAATTTCATTTTAATCTAGTTCTCAGGGAAGCCACCTGCTGGGCACTGGTGATATGTTTGACACTTACACTATAAATGACCATGTAACCTTACTTTAAACTGTTGAAAAATGTAGGGGTTGGATTAGATAATCTTGGAGGTCCCTTACATCTCTACAAATCCTATGAAATGATTTTAAAATATCTTTTAAAATTTCTCTTTTCTAAGACTCACCACTAGCTGGCCCCAGTCTACCA